ATTTCTAAGTCTGTTTTCAATTGAAAAGTTGGTCAGAGTGTTTCCAAAGAAGAATAAAAGACTTTTATGTATAAAACACCTGATTTTTTTCACACTAGTTCAGTAACTAGGTTAGATTTTTGAAGAGAATCTAATAAACTAAAATTGATTTTTGAGATAAATCAATAAAATCTTTACAATCTCTTTCTTGAGATATAGTGAGAAAAAGTATGATATCAATTGATAATAAATCAGATGATATGACAGTTTTTGAGAGAAAAACTGACAAAAAATAAATCAATTTTTTGCAGAGAAATTGATTAAAACTATTCAATTTTATTCTAAATCATTCAATTCTTCTCACACAACAAGTATGCAACTCAAATCAGTTAATAAAGAGTGTAAAAAAGAATTAAATATTAATGAAAGCTCTTCAGTCACTGAAAAAGTAATTCTTACTTAAAAGAATATGAAATTATGACAGAAAATAACTCTGTTTTTAATTCTTTGTAAGAATATTGTGTAAAATCCAGAGAAAAACACCTTACTTTTTCAAGAGAAGTAAAAAACTATTTCTAAGATCTTTTTTTTTGCATTAACTGCTGTAGAAGAATGAGATAGAAACTTTTAAGATATACACTACTGTATACTTTCTATCAAGACTTTCCCTCTTCAGAGTCTTGATATTATAGAGAATATAAGTCTGTTTCTATATGATAATATAAATATTGCCAGCAGGATGTAGAGAAACTGGTTATTTATATCTCAAAATAGAAGACTTTGTCAATGATTATATCAATATAGAGTTAATTCTCAAATTTAATAGAAACCTAGTGTTGCTGTTCTCAATCTCTTACAGAATCTATTGAATATTGAGATATTAAAACTAGATTTAATATATCTCACTGTGCAGGGATCAAAGGCTCAGTCAGACCTTGAGGTATACTGATTTTATAGTTGTTGATGTGCTGTTGACTTGTTGTTCACTGATTATGTATTTAATGCTGTTGCTGAGGTATCTTTTTGTATCATTCTGCCGGGGATGGGCCAGATTGAGAGGGGTAGTACAAGGGTGAGACTTGGTGTTGAAGTCTAGATACACTGGCGACAGACCGTGGAGGTTGCACTTCAGAAGAGTCCATTGATTATATGCTTGATATTATCGCTGAGGTATCTTTTTGTATTTTTCTGCCGGGGATGGGCCAGATTGGGAAGGGCGGAACGAGGGTGAGACTTGGCGTTGGTGTTTTGGAACATCAAAGATGGACAGGGTTTTCGCGGAGGTCGCTCCTCGGATATCTCCACAACTACAGGTCGGGGATCTTCCAAAATCGAGAAGATTGGTGCATATGGCTAGGTCACTTCACCTTACAATTTGTATGGCACTCTGGCCCGGGGTTGTGGTGTGATAGGGGAGAACGGGGGATAATCCCACACAGGAGTTTCGAACAACGTCCGGGTTCACGTTTGGATCATGTCAGTGTGGTTCTAGAACATCTCAAAAGATAGTGTATAAAGAGTGATGAGCAGAAGAGCATCTGATTGATACTGCTTCACTTGTTAAGAGAAAACTTCACACTCAGGTGAATGCCATGTATGATACATGAACAGATGAGATGTGAGAAAGAGAATCAGAGTAATGAACCAGATTCAAAGAAGTTCACTCCCTATTCAAAAGAAGGATAAAAAAGAAGATGAGTAGCTATCACCAGAGTTATACAATGATAACAGAAATCATATAATGATATAGTAATATAACAATATAGCAATATAATAATAGATATTGTATGATTAACAAGAAATCACTGAAATGAATATCTTCTCTAGTTAATACAAACAACACTCTTCTCTGCTATCTGAATCAGAAGATATGCAGAATCTCTCAGAGAGTTTACTTAAAGCAGTAAGAAAAGCAGCTGAGATCACTGAACTGAAATCAAAGCTCTGTATGTGTACAAGAATTCTAAACAAGATTAAGATCTTGTGTATACAGTGGCAGACTAAGATGAAAGTCAAACAATAATTGACATTCACTGCAGATCAAGCATTCACTATGAAGAGCTTTATCAATACAATTATCATCATTAATAAGAATAGAGAAAACCCAGTCTTAGATCTGCAGTGAGAGATTGAACATTTATACAGATAGATAACTATACTGAATCTGAAGATCTTACTACAATTATTCACAATCTCTTCAGAAGTGTATACATCATCAGAGATCACTGCACAGAATGAGAATTTAAGTATAGAATATATCAAGTCAGAAGATCTGCTGAAGTTATTAAGCTTTAATAGTGACTGAAAAGATGATGCTGTAATCAGCTGGCTAAGTCAGATGTAATTATATTATCAGATTGAACATGAACTTACAGACAGACAGTCAATGAAATTTTAACAAGTCTTGAAATCTGTCACATTTCTACACAGAAAAGTGAAGTTATTATAAATAGCTGATGAAAAGATAAATCTCACAGACTCAGAGCAATATTCATTCTTATAAATATAAAATAAGTTTTTCAAATGAATTTTGCATAACTTTGAGAAAGTGAATATATAAGATAAGTATTATAAACACTTTACTAAGTATAAATAAGTGAGTAATCTTATATTGTACTTCACATACTTCAGCTTACACTATCTTATATTAAATGAAGAGCTTTCAACATCTTTCTGTTTACAGATCTTTATTCATAATCTTACATCTGAGTTAAGAGTGAAATGAAAATGCTTAATCTTATAATCAGACACAGTGAAAGAAGTATATAACATTCTCATTATACAGAAACAAGTGAGTCAATTGTGATAGAAAATACTACAATTGAGTATATCTCAGCAGAGAATGAGTAATCAGACTTCTATAACACAAGTTACACACTTGAATGTAATGAATCTAGATCTGAATATTATTACTAAAGCACTGAATTCTCTGAAAAAGAAATTCTCTGAGTAAAAATCTTGATATTATAAGCATCAAGCTTATTTTAACTATAAACATTAAAATCATGATGTAAAAGATTGCACATAGCATACACAGTTAAGAGAAGTAAGAGAGTCAAAAAACTAGTAGAATCAGTGAGCTTGAAGACACTCACTGATATTCTGTGAAAAGTCTTCAAAGTGCAAGAGATGCTTATATTAGATGACTCTCTGAATTCTATGAATATTAAGAGAAAGCAGGCTTCTGAATGAGATACAGATGAGAATGATAAAGCAGACACTTATCTTAATATCTTAAGACCTGAAATGTTAATGTATAAGAGACACTTAGATATGAATCAGAAGATGACTGTAAAAGTGTTAGTAAATACAGAAGCTTTTATACAACATATTAGTAATTATATAATCTGAAGACTGAAAGAAGTCTGCTGAGTGAAGAATTTCTGATGTATAAAATTATCTGATAACTGATATTTGATATTATCTGTAAGAGTAAGAGTTTTCTTGCACTTCAGAGAATGATCTTGCTATATTTGAGTGTGAGAGCTGCAGAATATGAAATACAACCTTATTCTCAGACTTGATTGATTTCAAAGGTTCAATCTGCAGATTCAATGATGTATATATCATATACAGTTAACTGATAAGAAGAAAATGATTCATATAATTCTATCAACTGATATGAGAAGGACATTTCACATCTTTAATATAGAAGAATTAAATCTGCTTATATATTAATAAGCAAAGAGAATGATTTACAAGATCTCATCTGAAAGCATTCTGTATGTAATACAGAACTCAGAAGCAGAGAAAATCAAGATAAAGAATATGTGAGAGAACAAGTGTATGAAGAAGCTTCTGAAGAAGTATGAAAAGATCTTCTGAACAGATCTTTTATCAGAATTGCTA